TGTTGTTGGTACTGGTTTCACGTCTTCCTTTGATTCTTCCTGAGGATCAGGCTTCACCAGCATGTCGGGTTCTGCTGGAGGTACGTCAGGCTTCTCGGCTCCTGAGCTCGAACTTGGAATCTTCGAATGCTCAAATGGCGTACCAAAATCAGGTGACTTTTCTGTCTTCCGGTATGTCGGAGGTGTCACCTTCTTAGCCGGTGGAGGCATCGAAATAAGCTTCGATGGCGGATCGACCTTGGCATCTCCACTTGCGATGTGCTTCTCTGGCTTCTTAGCCGGAATATCGGCTGCTGACTTGTCTTCCTTCACTTCGGATGTCTCTGCCTTCTTGCATCCATCTTTATATGTGTGCGTCTGAGAGGCACTGCCCTTGTATAGGTCTCCTCTCCAATAGGTTGCGTTGAAGAGCCATGAGCGAGAGCTTGGAGACCGGAACGATCTCTCTCTGCAGACCCAAGCCACTTCGCGCACACTCTCTTGTAAAGTGGCCAGACTGAAACCTGTCGCCTTTTGGAATAGCTCTTGGAAAGCTATCATCTCCGAAGAACAAATGCCATTGGCAAAGTATTGGCGCAGGCTGTCATACATGATGTTGCCAACACAGACCATTGCGCTTGCAGTTGGGCATGTCAAAAGTCCAGCATTTTGCAAACTAAAGCCCAAACAGGTTTCAAGTTCCTTGTGTTGGTCTTTGCTGCGAGCAGCTGCTTCTCGTAACGATTGCCGATACATCCCAATGAGCTCGTCTGCCTTTACTAAGTCGAACTTGCTTGGGTCATCTTCCGAAATAGGAAGAAAGTATTCATCCAGGTTCATGACCTTTGTTCCATGCTGTTTGCTGAGAATATTCTTGCAAAGTGCGCATGGTCTCAGCCCAGCCGCGCCTTTGGCGCTAAGCAGAGCCCTGATTGCTTCGTAGTCGCCTAGAAAGGCTTTGACTTCCAAACGAAGACGGATGTTACAGACCTGAACGCCCATAGACAAGTTCTGGCTTGCTAAATGCCTCAGCACTGCGGCGCCAACTTCACTCGTGGATCCACTGACCAAGCTAACATCGCGGCTTGGGATGCAGGCCAACGGGAACCACGCGTCGGCGCGGCCGACATCACCTAGACTTTGAATTGTGAAGTACCACAAGTGCATCTTCTTGCTGCTTGAGGTGGACAAAACGTTGCCGCCCGTCGCCTCGTCCTCGACAACTACCACTGGATGGATTTTGTCCTCAAGCGCACCTAAACGTTGGAGGTAAAAATCGGCAGATCTAGCAACGTAGTCTAACAGCGGCTCTACATTTGCGCACCAGAATCGTATACTGGGACCTCCGTCGTGGGCTGGTACTTCCAACTCTGAATAGCAGCGCCGAGCTGGCTCAAGGATTTGCTGGCTTTGTCTTTTCCAGGCGCCGCTTTGAGGAACTTGAGGGTCACGATTGTTTAGCACTAGCTTGGCTTTCCAGGCGCTTAGAGAGCTTTGGTGCGCCAAGAGCTGAGAGACTTTTTGTTTCTTTGGCGCGCTCTCCATGTAGTGTCCTGTCCTGTCCTGTCTATGAATTTGTTTTGTTTATGCATTTGTTTTGTCTATGCATTTGTTGGATTTTGTTGGAAAGTGCAACCTAAGAAAACAATCGTGGATTACATGGGTTCGTTGTTTGCTGGACAGAGCCAACCTGATATAGGTTGCAGCCTTTGAATTCCAAAAAATGGCGGGCTACCGCCTGCTATGTGGGCACTATATGCAAAAGACATGTAGTACGTGAGCACTTATTTATATGTACCTTTACACCTGAACACACCACACAGTTGGTCCATCCTAAGTAGATAATACAACATCACTGATTGGATAGACAAACACGGCGGGCAACCACCTTGTTTTTCACTTAGCGCACCACAGAGTTAATTAATCCTATAAGTGGGCCCTCACCTCAGAGAGTAGTTGTTGAACAGGCCATAGCGCATCGAAGAATGCCTTGTTCTCGTGCACCCTGAAGAATTGCTGCACCGTCCCCAAGTAGCCCACGCATTGGCTCACCTCACTTCGCTTCAGGGCAACACAGCGACCATGTGCTTGGGAATATGCTGCAATCTTCTGTTGTACGCTGCGCCCTGGTGGGTCTCCAAATTTCACATAGCCTGAGTAGGCCTCCTCATCCAAGGCCACATCAAATTCGAAATGGCACCGCAAACAGGCTAGACACAAAATAGCCTTGCTCAGAAGTTCTGCTTTCGACCAACTCTCCGTGTAGAAATCGACAAGCCATACACAGGTTTCCTTCAAGTTCTCGAGCTCAAAGTTGGCCACGTAACCCCGTTGCTCCTTATCATATTGGTACAGTGCCGAAAATCCATTTGCCAGATCCTGCACCACTGAAGTTTCCACTGTAGTGTCATGCATGGAGACGACAGGGAGCATGATACCTAAAAGGACAGAACTGCACGGGCACCTGATGTTTTGAACCAAACCTATAGTATATGAATATATGGAGACCATGAACTATATTCGGCGGGCGACCGCCAAACGTTTGACAAACACAAAACATATAGTATATGAATATATGGAAACCATGAACTATTCGGCGGGCGACCGCCAAACGGTTGACAAATCTGCAAGACTTGAACTTCCATAGAATACAAATGTGACTTGCCACAGTTCAAGAGAGAGAAGGTGGCGCACTAGAATCTACACGCATTTGTTTTCCCACTCTTTTACCCCTCCGTTTGAGCACAGGCTTCATTGTAATTAGACACCTTGCGTGATCTGGGACATGCCAGGTCACCGAAGCAAGAACCCCTATCTCAAAGCCACTGCCAAGTTGATGGACTTGATCACGTTGTTCATGGACTTGATCTCGGCAGCCAATGCCTTGTCCGAAGTGATTTCAATCTCAGACAAGGCAACTGTTTTTTCCAGAGCCGACTTTCTTCAGGATGTCTTGGGCCTGTGACACCACAGTCTCAGCCAGGCTCAGCTTCTCCTCCATTTGCTCCAGGGTTGCCGCATCAGCATCGCCCTCCTTCAGACCCTTCTTGGCCTTCTGCATCCTGTCCAACACAGGCTGCAAGCATGTCAGGGCCTTGCTAGCCAAAGTGGTGGCAACCTTGGTGTTTTTTGCTGCCTCGGCACTGGCCTTCTTTGCTGCTTTTGCAGCTTCCCTTTTCTTCAGAGCCGCAAGCTGCTTCTCAGTCAAACCTTTCCCACCAACGACTTCCACCTCGTCTTCGCTCTACAGATCTACCAGATCCACGAGGTCCTGGTCAACAGGAACCTCTTCGGCTGGCTCCTCTGGCTCATTGCCTTTGTTTCTTTTGTTGGACTTGGCCTTGGCCTTGGGGATCCGCTTGCGCTTGGCAGCCTTGTCGACCAATTGGAGGGCCTCCTCGACCTTCTGAAAGATGGTGTCGGTGGACACGTGAAATATGTCCACACGATATGTGCGGCCTAGCACTGGATGCTCCATGGACTCTGCAAGGGCCTCGATCTTGGTCACGTCGTAGCCACGCTGCTGCCAATAGCCAAGGGGATGGAACTCTCCGTTGAAGCCTCGCTTCGTCTCCTCCATGTGACGGTGAACAAGGCAGGCCTTCATCTCGGCGCGCAAAAGCTGAAAACGCAAAGGACCATCGCCTTTCTTCTCCAACATGGCCTTGTAGAAGTTGACGCTTTCCTCGTGGGAGAGCGTGTCCCATCCGGCTGGCATGCCATCAAATGATCTAGCCATCATTGTTTGCACGGCGCGGCAGCTTTTGCACAGAACCTTGTTCCGTGGGCCTTTTGTCAAGTGCTTCAAGACCATTTGGTCAGCTTCCACTGGTGTGTCACACTTCTGACACCTTGGACCTTCGCTATCCTCCAATGGATCTGGAATTTGTGCCGGAACTGTCTGGAAATCCTCCTCCACTGCCATGGTCTCTGCTACAGCATCTGCCATGGTGCAGAACCAACACAAAGACAGTGACCGGCTAACTTTGACTTTGAGATCTCAAATGATCACTCAATTGGTTCATAGATCGAGGCCACCCCGGATACATGCGGATACCATCCGGATACATGATCGTAGATGTATCCGGATGGTATCCGAATGTATCCCCATGTATCCCTGTGTATCCGGATACATCCGGATACACAGGAATACAAACGGATACCATCCGGATACATCAAGGATAATGTATCCGGATGGTATCCGGATGTATCCGCATGTGTCACTGCAACCATGGCAAAGCAGTGAATATTTTGTGACAACGTTTCATATCTTCCCACACCATTGACATTGTTTGATGGTGATATGTCTTAATGCATGGAACAGTCACTGTAGCCTAAGTCCAAATAGACCGTCAACAAACAAAAACATGACTTGCACGGGCTACCGCGCTCATCACAGAACCCAACATACATGACTGCGACAGGCAACTTCTTTTGAAGACAGTTTCTGGTCCATTGTTGGCGATCACTTCTTTGACGGCTTCTTCTGGGCCGCTTTCTTTACACATGCACGCGGCTTCTTGTCTGCAGCCACCTTGGCACTCGATGGTTTCTTTCTCGGTGTCGATGCCGCACTTGGCAACTTCTTCGTCACAGCCACCTGGCATTGCCTGCTCCCTTCATTTTCCAACTCCTGGGCCTGGACCATCTTCTCTTGCTCATCAAGTCTTTTCTCTTGCTCTTTGAGGCTTTTGCTGCGCTCCTTCTGTGTGGCCAACATGTCATTGACCCTGGTAAGCTCCTGGGGTTGATTGAAGAAGGAATCCGAACGGGTGCGCCATGAGTTGCACCCAACAAATGTCTCACCGACACAGAAACGTAAGAGTCTCTGATCATGTTGAGGACACGTCAAATCATGTAATCTAGTGGCTGATGTAATTGCGTCCATCATTGAGCTGGAGAAATCGAAAGCGCAGCGCCCGAGCACTTCCCCAGTCATAGTGTCAACCTCGAGCTCATTCTCGACTTTCCTCAGGATCAGAACCCTCTGAATCACCTGATCGTGAAAACCATAGTTCTCAGGTGGCAGTGAGACAAGGATAGTAGCGCCACTCTTGGTCACAAAGACCCGGTGCTTCTGGTAGTGGTTCACCACCAGGTGTGCTGGAGAAGAAGATCCACCAAGAGACTGCAAGTTCAAATTGATCCTTGGATTAAAATCGACCATTTCAGAAGGTGGCCTGGGAAGCCCGCTGTTGTACCAACAAACAGCCTCTCAGGCCACCTTGAAAACAATGGACACTTGCATGTATACACTATTAGAGATGATGACAACAAAAGCATTGCAGGTGACCCTGGTGCAATGACAAAACGTATACTTGGCTCCAGCCTACAACAGCCCACACCAACCAAAGCAAAACACACAAGCGCATGTCCAAGCATCGTTGTTGCCCCGAATCGAAGGCGGAGCACCTGACCTTTGGGTAAGGGGCCAATCCAATCACACATATTTCCGTCCTCGAAGGTGGCTTCTGGGAAATTTTGCCAATCTTGCAGTGCCACACGGCCATAGCGGTACATGGCGCCAGCAAAACGGCGACGCCGTGGGGCCTCAACAAACTGTCAGCGGTTTGCCCTGGAGCGAGCGCAGCGCAGACGAAGTGACCAAAACATACAACCAGCTGAAACTATTTGCAGAAGATAAAAAGGAGTTACCATCTTGATGACAAAGCTGAAAAACCCAGCATTGAAGCTAACAGAGTTACACTCTTGATGACAAACAGAGATGCGTCTCTGAAAGAATCTTAATTAATTACTAGAATGGACTCTGTGTTGGAGGGCTTTTTATGAACCTCTACTATGGAGTATCTTAAACTGAAACAGCTCTGCGGGCTACCGCAGCAAGTGCAATGACTGGCTACACGCTTTTTCTCAGTCACACTGTTGCCATGGTCGGGAATTCTTGCCGCGTTTGCGTTTCTCCATTCCGCAGAACTGCTCTAGAGCCCTCCTAGACCAGCCGAGCTCTTCGGCCAGCTGCTTCATGTCCTCTCGAAAGTTGGCCAGCTGATCATCATGGACGATTTGCTCCTTTGGCCTTGCCATGCTTTTAGCATGCAACCCTGTGTGGCCATCCACATCCATCTTTGCAGGTCTTGACACGTTGCTCCTCCACTTCCTGCTTCGGCTCAGGCGCCTGCTCCTCAGCTGGTTCCTCAACTTCCTTGGTGAAGGGCGCCTGCTCCTCAGCTGGCTCATCCTGCTCTCTAGCCCTTTTGGCGCGCCGTCTCGCTTGGCCCCATGGCGGCACTTCGCAAACATCAGCTTGAGAGGGCACTTCGCTTGTCATTGACCTCCATGGTGGCGTTACCTTGCTTTGGGCGTTCTGATCAACAACCTGCTCATTGCTTTGAGCCTTCAGCTCAGCATCGTTCTCCTTGCTTTGGGCCTTCAGCTCAACATCCTTCTGGCTTTGGGCCTTCAGCT